AAAATTACCAAAATAAAATGCGGCAAAATCCTACAACTAGGAAGCGCCTTTGACTCTACACAACCGGACAATTAAATACCAAGGTTAAAGATTCGTTTCCACTATTAGTCGAAGGCGCTAGTAATAGTAAACTCACGACCACATATCACATTCACATTCACTCTCACACGCCAAACCGCCCCAACACACACACACACACACACACACACACACACACACACACACACACACACACACACACACACACACACACACACACACACACACACACATATCACGTACCCAAAGGCACTTAAAAGAACGCAGGAAGCGGCCACGAAATACATTTTCATATTACTCATCCTCCAGCCTTATACGCCGGGTGACTCACTGCACACCCAACCTGCCAGTCGTGTCTGAGACTCACCTGGACTCATTCCGCGCCTCGGGCCATTCGACCGGTTCGGACAAATATATTTAATCTCACGGTCTTCAAAGCAAGCTAAAAATAATAATAAATAGATAAAAAAATAAAAAAATAATAACAATAATTTGCAGTCAAGGTGTGTCCATTGTTTTTGTATAAGACTGATTCATCGGGTAAGTGCAAGTCGACAGGAAGAACTCGAAATCTTAAAACAATGAAGAGTTGTGTGTGCTTAGATGAATAATGTACGTACATAAACATAGACAGCATATGCACCCTCCCCTAACACATACACACACGCACATACTTTCACCAAGACGCAAACGCAAATGTAAACACAAACACACACATGCACAGGCCTACACCCCCACATACATACAGATAAATAGATAGACATAAAAATACAGAAAGACAAATAAGATAAAAACACACAAACAGAGAGACCGATATCGGCAGACAGAAATAGCAAAATATTTCGTCTATTTCCATCCACACAGAACAAATGTCCTTCCATTTCAACGCGCGGTTACACGGCGGAATAAAAGAAACAAAAAAACACATAAATACCGTTTTTTCTAGCAACCGCACTACCTGTAGCCAAGGGGGGGGGGGGGGTACGACATCCGCGTATGACGTCATGCCTCACCACCAGCATGCGCAATCGTGTTCATGCAGATGCAATAAAACGCAAGATTAATTCATCCAATCAAAGGAACCATGCAACTTCCGGATTATTTCCAAACGAAATAGAAATTCAAAACAGACCCAATATTTCGAAATGGAAAACCATCATTACGAAAAAAAGGGAAAATTCTCTCTCTCTCCTTAAATAAACTTTCCATTATCAAATCTTAGCTTTTTAAATAAAAAAAATCGTAATCAAATAAACCTTTTCAATAAGCTTTTCATACTTATATAAACCTCAATATTTTTTTCCTTCAAAAATCGAATCGAGTTTTCACACCAAGTCAATCTAATAATCCTGCCTCTCCCCAGTGTGCCTAGCGACGTGGCAGCCCTGGAGCGGAGACGCCTTTCGTCACAGCGGCCCTTCGCCCTCGTCTGAATTCATCGTCCAGCCCTCCAACGTCACCGTGCCGGAGGGGGACCGTGTCGTCCTCAAGTGCATGGTAAGCTGCAAGCCCCATGCGGTCTCTGGCGCTGGCTTGTGTCGATTAATGAATGAACAGATAGCCAGACAACAGCAATAAATGTAATAATAATGATGATGCTGATAATAGTAATAAAGATGCTGCTGCTGCTGATGATGATGATGACGACAGCTGCTTCCCCTTCAACGCACTCACCCCTTCCCGTGCTCTTCCCCAGACGTCCGAGCAAGCCCACGTGTGCCGCTGGTACTACCTGGAGCTCGGTCTCGACTTCTTCGACGAGCGCATCACGCCGGTGCTGGTCAAGGACTTCAGCCCGGCGCACCAGAGGGACTGCTCCATCAAGATAAAGAAGGTAAGCTTAGCGGCTGAAACACGCTTTAGGATGATCTCAGCGAGTCAGTTCAATATTTCCGGATGTTTTTTCGAGTACTAAATACACTGACATTGACTGATAACATTTTTTGGATGGTTTCAGGTGCGTAAAGTTCAAGAGGGACAGTGGCTTTGCCAAGCTCTCAAGTTCCATTCCTCGAAGTTCCTCATGAGCAAGCCAGCTACACTTCGAGTTATCACAGGTAAGAAACTATTCGTCTCCTTCGGGTTTTAGTTCTCAAAAGATATGAATTCTTTTTTTCGATATATATCTAAGGTAACGAAATTTTACTCTTGAATAAATATGAAATCAATTTCCATCAAAATACATATGGAAATGTTATGCAGAGTTTCTAATGGCATTTGTGTGGCATTGCAGAGGCGGAGAGTGCCACCTGGTCCCCTCCCGTCACGGAGCCTATCCCACCGAGGCAAGGTCGACGAGAGCATGAAAAGGTATACTTGGCGAGACATTATTTCAAATGTTTTGAGAAATACACTTCTTTCACATATACTCGAGTTACTGTTCTCTCAGGCGTACTTAAACGCATGAAACTCAGTAATTCAACATTCTTTTCGTTTCAGTCTGAACCCGTGGAGTTTGAGG